TATCGTGCAATGCCCACGGAGGTCAGAAGAGGCTGTCAGATTCCCCGGGACTGGAGTTACAGACAGTTGTTAGTTCCATGTGGGTACTAGGATTCAAACCCGGGTCTTCTGCAAGAACAACCAGTGTTCTTAACCACTGAGCCATCTCTCCAGCCCCATAAATAAAATATTTTAAAAAACAGAACAATACTATTCAATTCATGGTGGGTACTGAGACACTGCCAAACACACTGTGTATCTGCCACAGAGATAGACATGAAGACAGTCCCTATCCTCATTTGCAATCTAAGGAAAACCCTTGCTCAAAAAAAAAAAAAAAGCAGTAATTATCCCCTTTCTACTAATGTAGGCCTCTAATCTGCCTTCCCAATGGAAGACTTTAAGCAAAGGATGACTGTGTGAATACATAAGAGGCTAATCACCATGTAACGAAATCCCTCTGTACAGGCACAGAGTATGATGTGGGGATCCACCTCACTGTACTGTGACCTATAAAGGCTGTCCTGTGGTCAGCCAGGGCTCCCCAGCTCTCCATGCCTCACTCACCTCAACAGATGTCTACTATAGTGAAGCATTTCAGCACCGCCTCCACAACACCATCTCTGAATGACCCCAACCCAAAGAAGCCCAACTTCTTTAAATTAGAGGGCTTCAGGGCTGGAGATGTGGCTCAGTGGTTAAGAACATTGGCTGTTCTTACAGAGGACCTGGGTTCAATTCCCAGCACCCACATGGCGGATAACCACCGTTCATAGCTCCAGTTCCAGGGGATCCAATACCCTCTTCTGACCTCCATGGGTTTTGCACGACATAGTGTGCTTACACACATGCAGGCAGTACACTCATACACATAAAACAAAAATACTGAAATTTTAAAAAATATTAGAGAATCTCATGACTACTAAGAGCTGAACATATGAATAACTCATTAGCCTAACAGTGACACAAAAATTTACATGCACTATTATGTATAATAATTGAAAACTGAAACCCCAAATGTCCAACATTTAGAGTTAAATTTAAAAATGAAATAT